CGAATTTGAATCCAGTTTGGCCAATATACCTTCTAGATTTCGAGAAAACTTCAAAAAACTGTTTTTTATAGCCGATTTTCACTATTTTTACGTTTTTTTTTTAAGTTTTCTCGAGATCTAGGGGGTATATTGGCTAAACTGACATCAAATTCGAATTCTGCGGGTCGAAAACATAACCATAGGTAGGTCCGGTCCAATGCACATCACACTAATTTTTTTTGTGTGCCATTCTGAGGGCCATTTTCTAATGTAAGCAGTAAAGTCGCCTTTACTAACAGGGCAGAAAAATTGTTCCTCACTTTAAAGTATTTTGGCTTTCTTATCTTACCGGTAAAAAATAAATTTGTTATTCCGTAGAGTGAAAATTCCCTACATTTCCGAGAGTGAAACTTCACTACATTCGTCATATAATGTAAAAGGTTGGCAGTGCAACATAAGCAAATATAGAGCAAGAGCCATGATTCAACTACACAAGATCTGACAAGATGGAGCAAAAGAAAAAAGTAATTTTCTGGCTGACGTTTGTAATTTTGGCGCCATGTTATTTTCTGTGAAAAGTAAACAAAGAATATGAAGACGAAGCATAAAGAAAAAATGCAAGCAATGTTGTGCACATGTTTGTGCTAACCGATTTATTATTTATGTACGTGTATTTGCATTCAATCACCGCGCACTTAAAAAATCACTTAAAAATCACTGAAATAAACCACCGACAAAATACACATAAAGAAAGAAGCACAACAGAAAAAGCAAACTTCAAAATTACGAATGTCACAAACTTTTCCCCAATTGCTATTGCAAATGGCTGCTTCTCAACCGGTCAGATCTGTTCTAATTGGTTCATGAGCAAGAGCAACTGTTAGCAAAAACCAAAACCTTGGTTGAAATATCTAATATATCTGATTCATGAACCAAAACCGAACCAAAATTTAAAGTTGGGTACACATTTTTAGAGGTTGCATCGAGTGAGCAACAATGTATCTATTCGAGAACTTACTGCGCTGATGCGAAAACGAAAACTCGTATATCGAGACGATAAAGTGGCCGGTAATCTAGAGGTTAGATGAGGAAACGGCCCTAAAAGTTATTAAGCTTGATCTGACTTTTTAAAATTTTTTTTTTTATTTTATACATATTGTTAACGCGCCTAATTAATTGAACATTGTAATTAACGCGCTCAAGTTTGATTAAAGAAATGTACTAAAATTTGCAGCCCTGCGCCTGCAAAGTAATGCAAATTCTCGCCAACAGAGGCTCGCGTGTAATACGCTGTATCCAATTGCATTTATTTCTGTAAAGTTCTTTTCCCTTTTGCTGGCGGCGAGAAAACATTAATTTGCAGGAGCAAGCACAAATGTAAGTAGTTAAGTGAGTTAATAGAATTGTTTTTGTAATTCCACATGCATATATCTATGTACTTGTATGTACGTATGTACATTGCTTTGTATATTCGCAGATTTTAGCGTGCATAACAATTAAATAAAGGACGCTCAAAATAAGTGCTG